AGGCGCCCTAAAAAGAAAATCTTTAAAAACAAACCAGGGCGCCTGGGTGGTTCAGTTGGTTGGGCGACTGCCTTCGGCTCAGGTCATGATCCTGGAGTCCAGAGATCGAGTCCCGCATCGGGCTCCCTGCTCGGCGGGAAGTCTGCTTCTCCCTCTCCCGCTCCTCCCTCTTGTGCTCTCTCTCTCTCTCAAATAAATAAATAAAATCTTAAAAAAAAACAAAAAAAACAAAAACCCAAAAAACAGCTCCTCCGACGAGAGTGGGAGATCCCTGCCACAGAGGGTTTGCCTACCTGGCCCCAGGAACATTTTTCGTGCCAATGCCAGAACCACCATGGGCTGGGGGAGGAAGGCGTCTGCCTAAGTCAGAAGGTGGGGGTCAGACGAAGTCGCATCATGGTGCACCGTGACTGCCGCGGCCAGCCGGGTGTGCGGGGGAAGCAAGCAAGAACGTTAGTGGATGTGGCCTTACTGACTTTGCCCACGGCCTGCCCTCAGTGAGGCCATTCTCGGCTTCCAGGTGCTTGTCCTGCTCCCGGAATCTAATTCTCCTACAGTGCAGCCTCTAAACTCCAGGTAGCTACCCCAGGTGCTCACCGGGAGGATTCCCTGCCCTGGGGCTGGGGAAGGCCCGCTTGCGCTGGACATGTTGAGGATGCGGATGGTGACAAACGAGGAGATGGGGTCAGTTTTGCAGGCATGAGGCAAGGGCCCAGCCACGACAGGTCGAAAGGCCAGTAAGAGTGGGCGTGTCTACATCTGTTTCATGCACAGCGAACCCCAGAAGGCACAAGAGAGGAGAGAGTGTGAAGCCTCTGTCCCTCCTGTCTACAGCTCCCAAATTTCTCTTCCCGCCGTTACCTGCTTGTCGTGTACCCTTACAGGCGCTTGGCTACCTTTTGAATGGAGGTCCGCATGGGGTTGGGTCCTGGATGCTGCGACCGGTCTCCAGAGCCTTGCACACAATGCTTAAACTTCCAGACCAGCTCGCGTCGAGGTGAGAAGAGCCTTACCCGGCTGCCTTAAATGTGTATTCCGACAGGCACTGGGCACCCGGTCTGTGCCTGCCGAATGGGCTGGTTTGGACTGCAGACCCTGTCTGACAGTGGCCTTCTCCCCTTGTGGTTTTTCCCCTGCTTGTTTCACGGGTGAACCCCAGATGTATTCTGACAAGGGAAGCTATTACCTCTGCCTAAAAACTCCAAACAACTGTAGGGTCAAATCCAGCTTGAGTGATGGCATTGTAAGCAAATTCACAAATCAGGTTTCTGGAAACTCATCTCATAAATCTACTTATAAACAACACATAGGGAATGTCATGTGTATTTTTTTTTTTTTAAATAAGCTCTACGCCCAACGTGGGGCTCAAACTCATGACCTGAGATCAAAAGTCTCATGCTCCACCGACTGAGCCAGCCAGGTGCCCCAAAAATGCCACTAATGTTTGACTCCATTCCATAGTTTTCCCCAAAAAAATGGACCTTCCTTATTACTATTAGTGCTTATTTTTAACCTTTGATAATAAAACAAGACAATCACACAAATGTGTAGCTTAAAAAAATATGGTGACATCCTTCTAACTACCCACCCAGGTCCAGAAAGACCTTTGTCAGCCATCCACAGCCCCTCCGGGTGTCCTATCACGACAACCCCTTTCCTCCCCATGAAAAGTAGCTAGCCGCTGTTCTTTTATGGTAATGTCTTCTGTGTGTCTCTATAGTTTTATTCTCAAAATGTGTGTCTCTATTCATTACAGTTTAGTCCGCCATTTAAAAATTGATTTAAAACGTTAAGTCTGTCAGAAATACAGAAATTAGAGTAACGCTTGAGATGGAATGGAACTCCCTACCATTATTCCTTGGAAGCATCTGTCAGGTTCTTTTTTTTTAAATTTTTATTTTTTCAGAGAGAGGGAGTGTGCAAGCAAGAGTGGAGCAGGGCGGGGTATGTGTGTGTGTGTGTGTGGAGGCAGAGGGAGAGAGAATCTCAAGCAGGCTCCGTGCCCAGCCTGACATGGGGCTCGATCCCATGACCTTGAGATCATGACCTGAGCTGAAATCCACAGTCGGACGCTTAACTGACTGAGCCACCCAGGTGCCCTGCATCTGGCAGGTTCTTTAGTTAGAATCTGCGATTCTTTCCGGGGTGCTGGCTGGCTCAGTCAGAAGAGCGTGTGACTCTTATCTCGGGATCAGGATTGTGAGTTAAAGCCCCACGTTGGATGTAGAGATCTTAAAAACAACAAGCCAACAACAGAAAAGCATCTTCGATTCTTTCTCAGTGGACATTTTTACTGGATTCCCAGAGTTCTTTCAGGAGCTTCTTTTTTTCTAGGGTTTCCTTTGCTCTTTTTTTCCTCTCTTGCTTTTTCCTCTCTGCCTCCTGTTTTTCTTTGTAAACAAGACTGTTTTCACCATTGTAGAAAATATCCACTTTCTCTTGTAGGATTTTCCGAGCGAGCTTTCTGTTCTGATCAACCGATCTTGTCTGATGGCACTGCAAGAGATAATATTTTATAATGTGAAAAAGTTTGTTCTGGACAGGATCTCAAATTGTGGAATTCAACCCATTTGCTCTATAGATGGGGACGGGCCCGAGAGGCAAGGCCACTTGTCAAGAATCCCAGTGAGTCCATGACAGAGCCAAGCCCATATGCCCTCCTTCCTGCCTCTTCTCAGCCTTCAGCTCGTCCCACCCCCCAGCTGTATTACGTGGCTTTCTTGGTGATGGTTTTATAATTAAGAGTGTTGCTTTGTCCGGAAGCAATGATAGCCTTCAGATAACTTAAAGTCCCCAGATAATTTTGAAAATATCAACTGGTATGTCTAAGCTTGTGGCCAGGGAACAAGCCCTCTGTCTGCACCATTTATAAACATAAAATCTGTCTCAGGGAGGGAGATACCATCTTTATTATTAGTCAACCATATCGTTGATTATGTCATCCCTGAGTTATTAAGGGCGAGTGCCTTACAAAGCTATTTGAAAACAATTCTGTGAAATTAGAGCGAGAGAAGAGTACTGAAAGCAGATCTGCAGTACGTGTATAAAACAGTTAAACAAAAATCCTGTCAGGTTTCAGAATTTCATGTGTGGCTCATGAATGACGCTTTTTCTCAAAGAGGAAAAGAAAAGTGATTGAGGCTTTAACTGATAGGCTCTTGGCTCAAAAACTTGGCAGTGAAGAACAGTCGTTGGGAGCACAGACTTGGGCTTGGTCTGGGTTGACGCCTGCCGCTGTAGGATCTCGGGCAAGTTACCTAACCTCTCTGTGCCTGATTCCACACCTGCACCATGAGGAAGACAAGGCGTAAGGGCTTGCGAGGGTGACGACTGACCGCGTGCGGCGCTGCGCCCACCGGGGCCTGCCCTGTCGCTGGTATATGGAAAGCCTGCCTTGCCGTCCCTTCTCAGGGCCCTCTGGCGGCTCGGCAGGGACTGCACTGAGAGCCAGCGGGGCCCCTACTAACCAGGAAACGGGAGACAGCATTTCAGTACCTCCCAGGGGCTCGTGTTGAGAGCTGGGGATACTCTGATCAGAGACTGGTTTCCAGGTAAAGGAAGCCGCCTCCAGGCAGCCCCGCGTCGCATTTTTGTCCTGAGGGCTGGGAAGGCTGTGCCCGAAGGGGCAGGTGTCACTGCCGTTTACCAAAGAGGGGACGTCTGTCTACCTTGACGACGATGCCCGAGGGGACATGCTTCAGCACCACACAGTTGCTGGTTTTGTTGGTGGCCTGGCCCCCGGGGCCGTGCCCTTTCACAAACTGCTCTTCAAGTTCCGTCTCATCCAGGGGAGGCGGAGCGGGGCGCTCCTTCCTGCCCGCCGCTGGGACCGCGGGGACCGCCACCGGCGGGGCGAGCAGCGCCCGCTTCTCCCGAGGCCGGAGGCCCTGCGGCGCGACGCAGATTCTGGCCAGGGCTGCAGGCCAGCGGAAGCCGGCCGAGGGCCTCATGCAGAGGAGCTCTGCCCGTCCGTGACCTGAGCTGGAGAAAAAAAAAGACAGCCTTTCAGGAAGGTGCGTTCGCGCTCAGGATTACACTAAAGGCTCTGGGACAACCTTATATAAACCGGTTCCAGCGAGGGCCACCCAGCCGTCCTGTGGGGTATTTAATAGGCACAGCCCTCTGCAGCCTTGGGGCATCTCCCGTGGTCTTCGCCGTGTGCGCCCTCCCAGCTGATAAGTATTTTGTTGTAACCAAAAATATCTTCAAAGCACCCAGAGGTGCTGCTTTCTCAGGCAGGGTGACATTCCGAAGAACAGGGCTGTTAATTCATAAAGAAACACTGAACAGTGCATCAAATAAGAATTAGGATCTGAGGGCGCCTGGGTGGCTCAGATGGTTAAG